GAGAGAGAGAGAGAGAGAGAGAGAGAGAGAGAGAGAGAGAGAGAGAGAGAGATAAGGAGAGAGAGAGGGAGAGATAGCGAGCACGGTAAGCTTCTCTCTAAACACGATGGCCTTCTTTATATGCTCTTGATATAATATATATATATATACAAAACAATATGCAAAACTCTTACTTCATCCCCTCCCGTCATCCTACTTGCCTCCCTCGCCCCTCGCTTAGGCTCTTTCTTCTTCTACCACCACTCAGCTATCTACCCTGCTGCATTTCCTTTGTCTCCCATCCCTCTCTCCCGCAACAAGCTATATTATGCAGTTTGCTTCAGCCTGTACCGCACGCCTGAAACGGTGCTCGCGCATGCGCAATATCTTTCGAGAAGAATAGTATTTTATAAAAATTATGCACTTAAACTGGGCATGGGTATGCCTGAGGGAGATGGGCACAGAAAGATCCCCTCTCAAGATATTACTTTGGCCGCAACAATGGCTACATTTATATTAATCATTTTTCTGTGGTAATATACACTGCGGATAGCGCTCGCGTCACTCGTCGATTTGCCAGCCACGAGAATACGATTTCGGCGAAACTTACGCACTCAAACTGGGCAGGGGTATGCCCGAGAGAGATGTGCATAGAAAGATCCGCTCTGATGATTTGACTTTGGCGACAACATCGGCTACTTTATATTAGCCATTTTCTGTACTAATATACACGTCGGATGGCGCTCGCGGCGCTCGCCGATCGCCGATATACCAGCCAGTACACAATCTGGCTACGTTAGTGTGTTAGCGCATGCGCAATATCTCACCAGAGGAGATCTATTTTGTGACGAATCTGCATTTAATATGGTTAGAGGGTATCTCAGCATAGATTTATGTAATAATCTCTCATCAGTAGACTTGTGTTTATAATTAACAGAGCGCCCTATCCTGTAGGGTGCAAAACTCCAATTTCATCCCCTCCCGTCCTCCCCCTTGTTTCTCGCTCAACCTCCTTCTTCTTCAACCGCCCCTCAGCTATCTACCCTGCTGCCTTTCCTCAGCCTCTCACACAGTGGCGGCGCCAAAGGCCCCCCCCTTGGCGGTGGGCATGGGCAGGGCATGGTATGAGGGGCATTTGCCCTTTGGCCCCCCAGTTGCCCCATTCCAGTCAGTTCTACCAAAAATGTAAATGCATTACCTCCCTCATATAATAAGAGGAGGGATAAAGGGAGCCCAATCTTCTCAAAGTCTCGATTTTTCGTTGCCGTTGGTCGTTGGCTTCGTACAGGAAAAAGTACTGTATGGGCGATAAACAAAATATATTCGTATACAATTTTGCTGTAATCAGTGGTGGCACCAAGGGGGGCATGGGAGCATTTGCCCCCCCCCCCCCTAGTCAAAGCCTTTGATCCCCAGTTGCCCCGCCCAGTCAGCTCCTGTACACAGTTCACAGGAGCAATGGCAATATTAATTTTACTCCATAGGCCCAAAATGTTGCCTTTAAATCTTTGGGTTTTAACCCTAGTCTATGTAATTTGAATTCTTATTGGGTGGCAGACCTCCCAACGCTTCCGATTTTGGCAGAAAATTTCCGCTTTCTTATTCCATTTCCGCCACTAAAGATTTTCCCTTTGATTTTTCCGCGATTTCCGTGGATAGCCTTTATTTAAAACACTATATAGCGTTTACAAAGCATGTTGATTTCAACATTGATACCGTGTGCAATGTATTAACCCTTTCGGTGCCGGCCCTAACGGCCACGGCCGGGCGATTGTGCATAACTAAAAAAATTAGTCTGGATATGTGAGGCGATGTAATTATAAGTTAAATAATTCTCTCATAATTACGTGGCATATTTTGTATCAACATTGTTTCTTTTTCTCTTAATCATAAGTACGTCACAGAAGTATTTCCAGTCAAATTAGAAGTTTGGATATGCATCAGAAGTGCTCTACAAGCGTGTTTATTTCTCTGTTTAAGGAATTTAGAGGCTTGATTTTACACCTCAAAAATGCTAAAAGCCGAGAGCTTCCGGAGCTTTGCCCCTAGGCCGGCCCCTGGACCTAGGGTCCCTATATACAGAGGGTATATACTATATAGGGACCCTACCTAGACCACACCCATTAGTTCTCGCACTACGCGCTCGTCCCCCCCCCGACATTTTGCTTTTCTCTCAGCTTGCCCCCCAACATTTTGTCTTGCCCTCAGCTTGCCCCCCCCCCACTTTTACAATCCTGGTGCCGCCACTGGTTATATCACAAGATTCAGATTCAGATTCAGATTTATTTTATTTTGGACTTTTCATTCATTTGTACAGATCATTTCAGATAGAAGTAAAAAGGGAGAGAAATAAATAATATTATAGAATCGATAGGTTTAAGGCAAAGGTGAATGTGCGTAGTGGTCAAAGTAGCCATAAGCTACTTTCCCTACCCCGCTGAAGATCTCTTCACAAGGTCCCATCATTAATTGATGTTCGTACTATCGAATATGCCAGACATACTCATCATCATAACAATCAATAAATATAGTATCAAGAGCTAATAATACATGTATTATTAGTTTTTGGTAGATGCAACTGCAAGATGCTTGGTAGATGCAGATGCAAACACACGCGTGCGGACGGGCACCATAGACGGGCACACGTACACACTATTTCTGTAAATTATTACCGAATGCAGTCAGCAGATGGCGCTCACGTCGCATGAAAAAGCAAAATGTCGTCTACTTTTACTTATTCTACGAAAGATAAGTTTACTATGCATTACTAGGTAGTTCGTTATAAAGGTGGATGCTGGTTATTATGGAGCTGATTGTAGGTAATAACTGTTACGCTCACGCACACATCAAATATTACCATTTTAACCGTAATTCGCGTATTATGTTCAAATTAGCAATGTAATTGTACAATTAGGCAATGTTAGGCAATTAGCCTGGCAATGTTTATGTTACACTTTTTTGGTACAATTAGGGCCCAAGGATAGAGAACATGGGTCCCAATAAAACCAATGTGCCTAATCCTAACCCTAACCCTAACTCTAACCCAAATCCTAACCCTAACCCTAACCCTAACTATAAGTTATAACCCTAACCTATTAGCATAGCGGACCGTACCCAGGGTACGTTCCGGCAGTACCCTGGGGGACATAGACCCTCTCAGCACTACCGTACCGTACCGTACCTCGCCTACTCCACTAACGAGTCTAGGGAGTCGCTAGCCACAAGTTCCCTTCTCGCTTAACACTACGTTGGCGAGAGGTCCTACGACGTGTAACACAGTCGGAGAGCCTGGTCGGTTTAGGGAGTCGCCTACGCCTACTCCCTAACCCTAACCCTAACCAGACGTCCCAAGTCTCCCGGTGAGACCGGGAGACTCCCGGTATGACACGCTGCTCCCGGTGCCCCGGAATGAGGTCAGAAGCTCCCGGTTTGTAACATTTTTTAGCCATATGAAAATTTACATCAGTAAATCAGTAAATTACTAAATTTGACGTTGTTGTTGATGTACTTTGATTCCAGCGAACAATAAAAGGCAATAAAACGATGATTTTACATGTATACTTTATAAAAAATGGTGGTGTGCCGCGACAAACACATATCGCAGCCCGCCACAACTTTTTTCCTGTTTTTGCGCACTGCGAAAAAACGGCGATGGACCTGGCTCCCTTTCTTGGATTGCTGGTCCAATGCTGGCTCCCTTTCTTGGACTTTCCCAACTCGGGACCTTTGACCCTAACCATATTAGCTCTAGTACTATAGCCCGCGTACAGTGACTGCCGCAGGGCTATAG